AAAAAAAAAAATTTCTCAAAAGTGACATCTGACAGTGTGGAAGTGGTCAGCTGCATAGATGAAGAACCATGCAGACGTCTAATAATTTCCAAACTGCAATTTTCTTCTGACACGATAAATCTCATGGACTTGCAGCACCTCAGAAACCAATTCCTGTCCTACAACTCAACACAAGCAAGCAAAACATGAAGAGATCCCAATTTCTCGTTCACCGAAACCATCTGTGAATAAATTTCGTCCAATGTTCTTATGGCTAGATTCGTTGCATGAACATAACTTGAACAGACAAATTTTAGAAAAATAGATGGATGCGGAGAGCTCCGTAACATTTTTCATCGAATTGCATGCAAAAGAAACTTCGTAAAAATATTTACTCAGCTGCAATTGTTTGATCAGACAAGGAGCTGAGACACTTGAGAAATATACAAATGACAATGATGGCACATACAAAACACCTCAGCGACTTCCAGAAAGATGCAAACGAAGGGGCAAACGCACACTCCAATCCTAGAAGTTCCATTCAAATAAGGCAATTTTTGATACATGAAATGAGAAAGCTGAAGTTTACGAACCCATTTAAATCGGTTCTTTTTTTTTTTTACAATAAGTTTGGAAGTTTATTTTCGCTTGCAATTTATGCACTAACAGAATTTAATTTCTTTTAGTCGCTGCTGTTTTTTATTAAACTTTTTTCATATTAACTGCTTCCACCCTAATTATTTTCGTCGCAAACTTCAGGGAGAAGGGGTATCAAGAAAAATATATCACTAAGCCGCAAACACAAATTTGCTTCTATTTACTAAACAAATCAACTACAAAGCATATAATCAGTCCATTTTAATAGCGAACGATGAGCCACAGGAGCAACCCTTTTCAGCGATCGGATTACTAACGATACGAAACGATGCGCGCATCAACTCTTCCGCATAATCAACTGTCGCGCCTTTCAGCAATTCCAGTGATTTCTGAAAATAGCTACACACAACTTTTCATCCGATGAAAAACAGCGTTTACACTAACATAAAGAAATAGCGAAGCAACAAGTAGCTCTGCGCATCACTTACATTGGTCTGCGCCAATTAATTCTTAAAAATCTTTTGACACAATGTACAATTTGAGGGCGCAGTGCCTTCCACGAACATAGGAATCCATCTTAGCCGTGAATTCAGTAATCCTAATGTGTGGCCAGTTTAATTAATGCACGCCCACCGTCCGATCTGTTTATTCTTCGGATGCTCAAAAAATGTTCATGAAAACTACTCACGAAGTGCATGACAATGAATTATGCTAAGCCGCAGCTGTTTTGGACGGAAGTTTGTTTGAAATCTGATTCTGAGCGAAGCGATATTTTTGCTTTTTTTTTAACGCAATAGCGACCAACTATGCAACAAAATTTCAGAAGAAACAGAAAACGTACCTCATCGACAACAATCTTAATGTCATCTCGACGAAAAATTATATCATCATCAGTGACTTTGGTGTCCAGGCTCATTTTGTACTCGAAGCCCGAGCAGCCACCACTATCGACCAATATCCTCAAGAACTCATCGCTGTTCGCTACTTCTTTTAATCGCTGCACACAATGATCAGTTATTTTTAGATCCAACGGACTGCCATCTTTCGCGTACCCTTTTGCCAGTGTACGTAACAGACGCCAACCGTTCATCAGTGTTAGCGCTCTATTCATTATATGTCATGCCTGAAAATGGAAAATTTAACAAACACTGAATTTAGCAAACAAAAAAATTTCTCCCTATCAGGGTTTAAGGCACCTAGGCGGATGGGCGCAGCCGCAGGTAGGCGTTTGGCCTCCTTATCCAACCTACTGTGTCTCCAGAGGTTATTTAGAAGCAAAACTGATGATGGCGATCTTAACTCTTTGAATGTGTCGTACCAAGTTACCAACAAAAGAAAAAATCGCACAAAGCTTCGTTCCTCTATTGCTAAAGTCAAATCCCGACCTTAATCAAAAAAAGCGCCGACTATCATCGTATCACACTCATTAGCTGTGACATAAATTTCAGGAATAACCTCAGAACCAACAAAAATCTACGCCAAAAATTCCGTGGATATAAGGCGACTGGTGGCACAGCGGTAGCACTAATAGCTAAGAGCAAAATTTATGGAAGGTCGAACACTCGGACAATTGCTCAGTGCTCGGAAAATATTCAGAATTCGTACAGGACTGAGACCTGTGAAAACTAGAAAATACCAAAAGAAGTATTTATTCAAAAACTCAAAACATGATTCCACTAGGATAGTTGACGCAGAACAAATCTAGGAAAAATTAAAATAAAACAGCGTAAAATAGTGTCTGCTGAAAATTGAAAAATTTCCGAAATTATGATCAAAGATGAAGAAAAAATACAAGGCTAAGTATCGAACGTTTTGTTCAAAACAAATTCGGATGGTGAGTTGCTCGTTTCGGAGGCACGTTGCGAGGAGAGCAGTGAAATTTTCAGAGCATTCAGGCGCATCGACTCCAATTCTACGGCTCGTTTCAAACCTAAAATTCCACTTCGAATTATAGAAAAGCTAAGTCAATTATCACAATCCACTGCCAGAAGTGTAAAAGCCGAAAACAATCACACAATCAAAGCGACAATTCAAGCACTAGGAAAGCAAAAATAATAAAGTTAACCTAAGCTGGAACACACCAGACTAGCCGGTGGGAGCATGCGTTTTTGTTCAGCTTTTTATGCAGCTTTCTTCACTGAAAGGTGGAAATTTGCTACGGTGGTCGTTCGTCAAAAAATTCATATATGTAAATAAGTTCATTTACATGTTAGGAGAGGATGAGGGCGGCCGTTCACTGCAAATTGGACTCATTTCTGATTTTTTAGCAAAGTAAAGTACTTCTCATGCCACTTGCAGGAAATTTCACTTCCAAAAAGAATTAAAACCGCATACGGAAGTACAATATCACAGCGAAGTTTCAGCCTCGCATCTTATCCGGTAAACGTAACAGCCACTTCGCAAGAAATATCTTTGAAGTGCTCTAAGTCGTTATGCAAGTGCAAATCGGTATTCATTCTAGGTATACGATTTCCCACATGGGCGATAAACATGCTGACAAGATTTCAGCCACTGTTTTCCAGCAAGTTTTCGAGTTAGCACAGTCTCAAGTTGCAAACTTTGTATGCGCTGCACAAGCATGCGCGATAACTGAATTTGAAATCTTTAGTCCGCACATGCACACAGAATATCGCTGCAAAGTTCCAGCTTTTCATCTTGTCTAATTCGCGAAGTCGTATCCCGCCAAAGAAATTTGCATATTTTTAAAGAGTCCGTACGCGGGGTCTAGGCGCGTGTGAGGGAAGATCTTAAAACGGGAGAATGACACGGGGGCTACGAGCACACACCCAAAACTTCAGCCTCCCAGTTCTTCTGGTTACTGAGATGAAAGTGGGTGACAGAGTCCAGTCACTTCCGAACACACACATACAGACGACCTTTCGACAATATGCGTTTTTGCTCGCTGTAGCTGCACAGCGAAAACGCATGAAAAACAAAATTTTTTTTGTTCCAACAAATTATTAATACTTTTATCGGGAGATTTTCAAAATGCAACATTTACATCTTAGTATTTTTGCACTAGCAGGTCAAATTCTTCATAACTTATTGATATACTGGTCGTTAAAACAAGTGATTATTTGAACAGTTTGCCCTACAGAATCACTTACAACAAGAAACGAAGGCGGCTATATGCATTAAGCATAGCGAGACTAAGCTGGAGACTGAACAATCAGATAATAGAGCGCCAACAAAAGTAAATGCAATCTGTACATCGTATATTTAACTGTTTTTTCCTAAGATTTTGGTTTTCGGATTATTTCTAATCTTTTTCTTGAGGAACTGTAACCTGTCAAAAGAAGGAAAAGTCAAACTTTTCTACAACTGTTACACTTCAGTGTCAATAAAAACCGGAACCTCTTCCGCGCTCAGATTACATGTGAGGAGAAGATACTCAAAAGGAAGCTATCGCACATGCCAAAAGCAACTATCCACTTGCAAAGCTGTCGAAAGCTGCTTCAAAAGATGTGGCAATTTTGAATGTATCCTCATTTCTTCGCTGCCTCCCAGCCGAGTAATCAATATGAATGCAACAGCGGGAAAAGTTCAGCTTAACTGATTCAGAGAATCAATTTGTTGAATCAGTTGAGTTTAACTTTATTCTCCGTTTCCGTCTATTATTGAAACCGATTTGAGATGAAAAATCGGAACTAACAGAATCGGATTCCCCAAAAAAGAGGCTTCCGGAAGCGCATTTTGAATACAAAACGTATCCCAGGAACACATCTGTGAAATGTCTTTCGTTATTTAGCAAAAAAACGCAAGGATTCTAGAACCTGTGAGTTGTATATAGAGACGTTGGAGCGCTCGTTCTTCACTGTCCAAATTGTCCAATTGTTCACGAATGTGATTGGCGTCTTCAAACATCGCCTCGTATTCTCATCATTCAGCACTGCACCGCAACAAAAAGCACAGCCGACAAACTTGTCCAATGGTGATACCCAGAAAAGCAACACTTTCACTGGATCCCTTTCTGGAAGCCTTAAACAAGTAATACGATTCCAGGTGGGAAAGAAACCCAATCTGCGATTGCAGGAAAAGGAACCCTTTTCATGTTAAAAATACGATTCCCGTTTCAAGACCAAGTGACAGTATCAGCAATCATTTGTTGACAAATCTTCTCTTTCCGAGGATCGTTTGGAAAACAAAACAGAGCTGGAAACTCCTACCTAAGCCTGTGTAATCAAAAAAGAATGCCCAGTAAAGACCCAAACCAAAAAATCCAGAAGCGGAAGACCATTTCTACACCAATTAATCCAGAAATCCCAAAGCACATTTGTACAACCAATTCCTTCAATCGTTTAGATAGTAAATTGGTACTAACATATGCTAGCAAATCTTCATTAATTTGTTTTTAAGCGATTTTGGGAAGAGCGAGCCATTTACAATTTATTCATCTTCCATTGGTACACAGACCCTTTTGCAAATCCCGCGAATAGACAAACCTGACTTCGCCTCAACCACAGGTGGCACCCGTCTGTGCCACCACGAAATGAGAGGGAGAAATAACCACAAAAAAAACTCCTGGGAGGAAATTCATAGTAACGTAGTATTATTGTACGGTATCATAAAATGCTGGAATTTCAAGACCAAGAACAAAAAAAAAACCATATGAAGTATTGAAAGCATAAAATTTATACAAATGTTTTAAACATTCCACGAAAACGAAATAAGGACCATAAAATTAGTGCATAAATATCATCAAATAAAAGCACCATGAACTAACTGGCGAATCAAATAATCCAAAATGAGCGCAGAGACTTTATTAGAAAAAGAAGACGAGTACATCACTGGAACAAATGTCACCGAAAATCAATGCCTTTCACCTGTACAGCGAAATTCGCCTTGAAAAAAATCCGAACGTCAAAGAGGATCATCATCTAATGACGCTCAATGTTTGCTCACGATTTGCTGCACCGAACGCATTTTGCCTAAAAATAACAGGATGGTGGGTCATAGAAATTGGAAGCCACTGGGAAGTGCGTAACAACTCATCTGCCGAATAAACTAGCTCTGAAAATGAATGGCGCTTAAGCGAGAGGTTCTATGGTTCACTAGGCCAAAGGAGCTCACCAGTGTCGATGCATGCGGCATACCTGGCTGGGGTTCACAATTAGCCCATACCAGCGACAAAAACGTCTTTGCGGGCTTCTTATGCCAGAGATCAACAAAAGCGCAAAAATCAGCTTTTCGAGAATACACAGCAAAGACATGAAAGCACTTGGAGGCACAGTTTATCGCTTAAAGACAGGTGCTGGGCTATTTTGGTTGGCTCGACGTCGCTGTCGCTCAAATCGACGTTCCATTTCGTCCAGGAGTCGCGGTGTGTAGCGTACCACTAGCTTCACGGTGCCTCTCGCTGATTTCAGCAGTTCAACCGCCTTCTCATGGCTTTCCCATTCAACGTTCACCCCATTCACCTGCAACCAAAAACACCATTATTACACAGACATCCCACACGTGTGGCGAATCCAAACCTGGCATTGTAATGATGCGTGACACCACTGTCTGGTGCTAACTACACTTTCTTTTCTCCTCGCTTTTCACATCTGTACACCTCAATACCTCAAACTGACCATCGTTTCCAAAACTAAATGCTTTTAGATTCGATTGCAATAATTGTGGGTGCCGGTGACGTAATAAGAGCCATTTTCCATAAATGCAATGTGATGCACTGATCATAACTCCAGGTGAGCTTTGTTTTCGCCTTTTTAACAGTTACCCTGCTACATCAAAAGTTGCAGCAAATCGGCCGCTGAACCTACAGTCTTCGAGGCGAGAAAGACTAATCGAATCTCGCAACAGCTACCTTCCAAGACTTTCCACAGTGCGTGGGTGTTGCAAAAGATGAAAGCAGCAAAGCAAAGGACGGACAAAACACTAATCAGCAGCAGTTCTCAATTTAAAGACGCTTCACTGAACTGCAACATTCTCAGAGGGGAAAAAAGGCGCGGAATCTCCTTTTCTTGTCTGTCAACTATCCCTCTTTGTTGAACAATACATCAACTCAGGATGTAAAATCACGCAGATGGTAGAAACAACACAAACGTCAAAAGCAACTTTTGTATTAAAATGTGAGGAATTGACGCATGAAAGAACGAAACTGCTTGCTCTGTACTTATTGGGGTATTTTCCAGTTTTTATGCGTTTTTTGCAGTA